TCAAGATAAACAATATTCAAGTGAGGCTGAAACCTGGTGTAAGGATATCACTGATCATATCAAGAGAAATCTTAAAGGTACGGCAGACTAGTAATTAATATAGTACTTTGTGGGGTAGGGAAGTTGTAGTTTACTACTTGTAAATAAGAAACAAAGATGGCAAATACCGTATAGCTGGAAAATTTGGCGGAGAATTAAATTTGGTGGTTCAAAATAAAACCACCAATATTATAACCGCCAATAATAATTGCAATTTTATGGGTGGGTTGATTATACTAAAAAATGGCAGTATTTCTCACTATTTCAGTCAAGACTGTGGGCAAGGACTACCAAGGAGCATCTTCAAGAAGAGCTGAGTGTGCTTAAAGAAAAGACAAGATAGTCAACCACCAAATTAAATGACCACCAATATTATATTTAGACAGTTTTGATGCAAAACCGCCAAAGTTTTAGACTGCCAAATTTTCTGACTATACAGTAATTATTTATTTTATGTTGCACTCAAAATGATACGTACCTTGTAGTGGTTTTATGGTGTTGGTATAAAATTTTGCAAATTTTTGTTCAGATTTGCCATTTGTTGGTGTAAATTTTTCTGAATATTATCCTCTGCAGCTGTTATTCCTAGTGAGCCATACCTTTTTTGTGGAATTTAATTTTGCAAATCCAACGAAAACGCAAAATTAGAGAAATTCATTTCCAGTGAAATATAACACCTATATGGTACTTTCCTTGAAAGGTTTAAAACTACAAGTGGTTCACTGCTGTTACATACATTATGCTATACATGTAGGGCCAATTATTGTTGTAGCTACATGTACATGTGTATATACACTCAACTGCATTAATAATTGTACTGATATACTTTCCATTATAGAGTTAGATCTGAAGAGATACAAGTACATAGTTCAAGTAGTGATAGGAGAACAGAGAGGAGAAGGAGTCAAGTAATGGCACAGCATTTAATTGTATTTATTTTATTTTATTTATTATTTATTATTAGGATTGGCTCAAGGTGTTTGTGGGACACTGATACTGACAACTACTCACAAGGATTATTCATTAACGTATGATTAATAATAATAATAATAATAATAATAATAATAATAATGATAATAATGATGATGATGATGATGATGATGATGATGATGATGATGATGATGATGATGATGATGATGATGATGATGATGATGATAATGATAGATTTGATATACAGCTTAAGCTTCACAACATGTCGTCAGTACCATTTAGAGGGAAATGTTGGAGGGAATTAAATTTGGTGAATTTGGCATTTTGATAGCCATTCATCAAAATAAAAATCCACCATTTGAGCCATTTTACTGCCTCCAAAATTTCCCACTATACGGTATTATTGATTTGCTTTTACACAACTGAAAAGCTAAACTCGCAATAAAAAATTACTTATGGATGGAGGGACATTTGTCCCTTTTAACCTGTTTTACAGTTTGAGTTTTCTATAAAAAAAATTAATTTTTGCATTAATTATGATTTTAGTCATCAGTGAAGTTCATGGTAAAAGTGTTGAGTGTTCTTGTTCTTATATAAACTGTGTTCCTTTGATGTGGTGCATTAATGATATTCATAGAGTACAACCCACGATAGCCTGGTGACATTAACTGGCTATAAAAGGGTATCATCTGTATTTTGTCAATCCAAGGGATAAAACTTTAAAATCCAAGATGGATGAAATATGAATATCCCTGAAGGATGAAACAAAAATTTTTGGATGGGCATGCTATTATGCATGTCCTTCTTTTTATATTATCAATTTTATTAAAATAATAAATATACATTTTAAGTGTAGTATAGCTGACAAAGCTGTTTCACTGTATAGCACTTTATTTTAGCAATTTTGCGGTAAAATTTGTAACTAGCTGATGTTAATTTGATACATGTGCATTACTGAGCATGCCCATTAGTGATTGACAGTTTCAATAACTAGTGGGGATTTATATTGCAAATTGCAATCACCAAAATAAAAACTCCACCATATTAATGTGTTATTATGGCAATGAATGGAACCCTGTATGTGTGGCCAGACTTATTATTATTGTTATTATCTAATTAATAATACATGTACTTGGAATGGATCCTACTCTCTCTCTTTATTCTCTTCATGTAGGACTCCTTGTTTGCAGTAGGTGTGGCATACGCTGTTTATTATTATTGAAATAAACAAGAACATTTTCACCTAATTATTATATTAATAATAATAATAATAAGTTAATTAATATGTATCTATCATCTATTGTCACTAATACACAGTACAGTATACACCTAGTCATTGTCACTTTAGCTTCTGGA